TATCACCTCCTCCCAGAAGCCTTCCTTGAATCTGCTGAAGTTGGGTTAAGAGCCCCTTTTGGTTATTGCCTCTAACATAGCATTTCACCAACTGGATGCTCATTGTTTACTTGTCTGACTCTATCACTGAACTCTGAGCTCCTTGAGGCAGGAACTGTTTCATTCACTATGGCGTCCCTGACACCCAGCACAATTCTGGGCCCTTGGAAATACTCAGTAAGCGGTGGAGTAAATAGGCAAGGGATCGCTCATAACTCTGTCTCCTACATACCTAGCATAAAGCTACAAAACTTACCTGAATGGATATTTTTTGGCTTACAGGTCAGACGATCAAGAAATATTTGTAGTTCACTGTGTGCTAATTGAGAGCTTTTTAAAGAAATCATGAAGGAACAATTCAGTAAGTTCAAGAATGTTCTGTGAACCACCTTGACCTAATCTAATGATATATACAGAATACCGAACAACTACACAATGTTCATTTCTAGTGCACATGTGGATCAAGATATGCTGAACCATTAAAAAAGTGTCAATAGGGCCGGCCTGAGGCTCACTCGGGAGACTGTGGTGCTGATAATACCAAGGCTATGGGTTCAGATCACTATATAGGGATGGCCGGTTGGCTCACTGGGTGAGTGTGGTGCTGACAACACCAGGTCAAGGGTTAAGATCCCCTTACCGGTCATCTTAAAAAAAAAAAAAAAGTGTCAATAAATTTCAAAGGATTGAAATAACATGAAATGTATTCTCTGATCATAAAGGAATTAAATTAAAATGATTAACAGTGGGCTGGCTAATTAGCTCACTTGGGATAGTGTGGTTTTGGTAAAACCAATGTCAAGGGTTCAGATCCCTGTGCTGGCCAAAAAAGACTAACAGTAAGCTATCAAAAAAGCTCAAATATTTGGAAATTAAGTACAAATAATCTACAGCACAGAAAAAAACAAGGGAAATAAAATATTTCTAAATTAATAAAGTACAATACATGAAAATGTATGACATGCAGTTAAAGCAGTGCTTAGAGGGAAATATATAGCTTTAAATGCTTATATTAGAGGATAAAGGTTTAAAGTCAATGATCTAAGCTTCCATCTTAAGAAGCTAGGAAAAGCCAATTAAACACAAGGTAATTAGAAGAAAGAAAATAATAAATGTAAGAATGAAAAGCAGGGCCGGCCCGTGGCTCACTCGGGAGAGTGCGGTGCTGATAACACCAAGGCCCCGGGTTCGGATCCCATATAGGGATGGCAGGTTCACTCACTGGGTGAGTGTGGTGCTGACAACACCAAGTCAAGGGTTAAGATCCCCTTACCGGTCATCTTTAAAAAAAAAAAAAAAAAGAATGAAAAGCAAATAGGTGGGAAACAGAAAATAGAGAAAATGCCAAAGCCAAAAGTTGGTACTTTGTGGCCGGTTCACTCACTGGGTGAGTGTGGTGCTGACAACACCAAGTCAAGGGTTAAGATCCCCTTACCGGTCATCTTTAAAAAAAAAAAAAAAAAAAGAATGAAAAGCAAATAGGTAGGAAACAGAAAATAGAGAAAATGCCAAAGCCAAAAGTTGGTACTTTGAAAAGATTAATAAAACTGATTGACCACTCAAAAGACTAATCAAAAAAAAAAGAGATAACACAATTTACCATTATTAGGAATGGAAGAAAGGACATCACTACAGACCCTACAGACATTAAACCTGTAATAGGGAATATGAACAACTTTATACCAATAAATCCAAAACTCAGATGAAATAGCCAAATTCCTGAAAATACAAGCATGCTAATTGCAATAAAGGAAAATTGCAGGGCATTATGGGAGAGTTTAGCAAGAGGATTTTTCTAAGTCCAGAGGAGTATGGATAGGTTTCCCCAAAGTGATATTTAAGCTGAAACCTGAAGGAGAGATGAGATTTGATAGGATTGATAGAATTCTGTCCTAGGCAGGGGAAATAGCATGTGCAAAGGTCCTGAGGTTGAAATGAACTTTATGTATCCAAAGAAAGAAGTCCACTCTAATGGCCTTTTTTTGGTGTTTGATGACCACATGCAACACCTTTCCTCAGTATAAACCTTCAGGTAGACCCACTTGGCTTGAACAGACACATTTAGAGAGACCAAAGCAAACCTCCTGATAAGACAAAACCTTGGAAGTTTCTGGGCCATAAACAGGAGGCAATTTATCCTGAAAAGTATATCATCTTCAGTTGTTAACTAGTGTTCCCTTTAACCTGGCTGGTGAGGCTCCTGAGGCTTTTCTTCCCTCTTGCTTCCCGTTGGGAGCATTCACAGTCCACCAGGTATTGCATTTCATATCATGAATTCTTTAGACCTAGCATCTGCTGCTCTTAGCCCCATTCTACAGAGCATCAAACTGAGGCTTGACTGAGGTCACAGAGACCAAGCCCTAACCACCGTGCCCTACCACCCTCTGTCCCACATTTTATTTCAGTTTTGGTATTGATGGGGCTGTGGTTTGCATCTTGGGCGTGGGTTTCCCAAACTGCCCGCTGTCTTCGTCCTTCCTCATGCCCAGGAGTTCTCTTAGGGTGAAGGAAACAAGAAACCAAAAAAAAACTAACCACTTCATCCATTTTTCCCACCAATCTGCAGAACCACAGCCAGCAGGGTACAGAGAGGTGCCCGGGTCTGGTGTCTGTTTCGGGAAGGGGTGGGGAGAGGAGAGAGTCCCTTTCAGTGCCCGAGTGTGTGTATGCAACTTCCTGCCAGTGAGGAAACACTCGGCTCGAATTAGCCCTGGTTCTCCTTTCCCTGATCTGGCCTCACAGGAGGAGTTGGCGGGGAGCCGTGGGCCCCTCTGGCCTCAGCCAGATTTCCCAGCCAAACGCGGGAGGAGAGATGCCCTGGACTGTCCTGCTCTTTGCAGCTGGTGAGTCTAATGCCCCCCTCTTACACCTCGCCCTGCTCCCCCGCCCCCTGCCCTCCTTGCTGCTCTAGGGGCAGAAACCTGTACGGGGCTGCCCTTCCCAGGTGATGGAGGAAGCCAAGCCGGGACAGATTTGCCTGAGAGCCTTGGAAACTCCCCAGGAATATCGCTTTTTTGTGTTAGGCTCCTCGTCAACCCTAAGTCCAGAATATCAGAAATACCACCCTACCAGAGACAGCCGTGCCCACACCCCATGACTCAGCCCCACTCGGCCTCTGCAGGTTCCTACCTTGAGGGCTGGGGCAACAGGAGGGTTTGCTTGGGGTGAGGCCGGGTGGGGGGTGGAGGCTGCACAAGGGAAGGCTTGTGTCGTCCTCACCTGGCCAGACACTCTGCTCAGGAGCCTGTGGGCAGCTAGGGGAGAGACTGGTTCCTGGGAGAACCTTCTTCCCACAGGAAACTGTACTCCAAAATCCATATTCCTCACCACAGCCTGGAAAAAGCGATAGGACCCCTCTGCCCTGTCATTATCAGCACTCCTTGAACACCCCCATGTCCCTTCCATCCGCCAGGCCTTTGCCCATGTCCTCCTCTCTGGCTGGAATGCTTTCCCCCAGCTCTTTACACAGGTCCTTCCTCACCCTTTGTCACTCAGCTCAGATGTGACCTCCTCTGGGAAGCCCTCTGGGGCCACCTCAACTAACACAGTCTTCCAATTACCCAACGCTCCTTGACTCCTTGAGGGAACGTCAGCTCCACGAGGCAGACATGTCTGTTCGTTTGTCTCCTTCACTGCTGTGTCCCCAGCATCTACAACAGGGTCTGGCACATAATGCTGTAGATTAAAGTAATAATTGTGCTGCTGTATAATAACCATGGCTATTACTATAAAGTGACTCAAACACACCATGCACCAGGCATTCAATGCCCACAAAATCATAGAGGGGTAGCGATCACTAGCTTCCCAATGCACATAGAAAGTAAGGCCCAGGGCCGGCCTGTGGCTCACTCGGTAGAGTGCAGTGCTGATAACACCAAGGCTGCGGGTTCGGATCCTATATAGGGATGGCCGGTTTGCTCACTGGCTGAGCGTGGTGCTGACAACACCAAGTCAAGGGTTGAGATCCCCTTACCGGTCATCTTTTTAAAAAAAAAAAAAAAGTCTTTTTGTCTTTTTCCGTGTCCGGCAACGGATCGCAACCCTCAGTGTTGCCCCCGTACCACTCCGGGGAACGGCAACGGGATCAGAACCCTCGGTGTTGCTCCCGCGCCTCGCTCAGCCAGTGAGCGGGAACCGGTCTGTATGTGGGATCCGAACCCTCGGGCGGGAGCGCCGCCGCACTTCCCAAGCGGCGCACTATCCAGTGTGCCACCGGGCCGGCCCCAGCTCCACTTTCTTCTATGATTTATTTATTCTTGGGTAGGCTCTTCCCCTCTTGATGGCAAAATCCTGCCCAGAAGCTCCAGATATACAGTTATGTGCCACATAATAGTGTTTAAGTCAGTGATGGATCACATATATGACAGTGGTCCGAAAAGCTTATAATGGAGCTGAAAAATTCTTATCGCCTAGTGATGTGGTAACTGTTGTAACACTGTAGTGGACTACATTGCTTATGTAGAAGCTATAATAGGTTATACTTATAGCCTAGGTCTGTAGTAGGCTATACTATCTAGGTGAGTGTAAGTGCACTCTATGATGTTCTCACAACAATGAAACCATTTAACAATGCATTTCTTAGAACGCATCCCCATTGTTAAGTGACACGTGACTGTACACTCTATCAGTTCTGCAATGCTAGCCAGAAGCCTAAACCTCTTTTCCAAGTGGTCCAGCCAAAGTCCCAGAATTAGTTTTCGTTGGCTCAGCTTTGGCCACATGCCCATCCCTGAACCAATCACAATAGCCAGGGGGAGGGAATATGCTAATTGGCCGGACACAAAGTTTGCTAAGTCCCAAGCTGCATAGTTGGGGGTAGAGGGAGAGGTTTGGCTCCTGAAAGGTCACCTGCAGAAATGACAGATGTCCCACCCTGTCCCTACCCCCCTCCAAGGCTCCTCATCCTGTCCACTCTGTCTTTTCATTTTTCCTCTAGTGCCCACTTGGATCTTGACGCTGTCCCTGAGCCTCGTTGGAACCCTCCTCCTCCTCACTGGGCTGGTGGCTGTCACCCTGGTGGTCAGAAAAGGTAACAGCTCACAGAGGCAGCATTGCCAGTTTATAACCTCTGGAATGTGCAAATCCTCACACCCATTTTCTTTTAAGAGTGCAAGAGCAGACAGTTTGGGGAGGTCTTACTCCAAAACTTAGCAGTGAAGAAGCCATCGGAAGTGAGATGATGGTGGTGGGCCGATTGGTATATACAAGGGTAAAGGTTCATGGACAGATTCGTGTTATCTTTTTGTGTGTGTGTGTGTGGCAGGCTGGTACAGGGATTGAACCCTGGACCTTGGTGGCATGTTATTTTTTAATTCTATTTTTTCACAAACTCTTTGAAGTACCCTCGTGTATAATATACATAGCATAAAATTTACCACTTTATCCATTTGTTTTTTAAAGATGACCAGTAAGGGGATCTTAACCCTTGACTTGGTGTTGTCAGCACCACACTCTTCCAAGTGAGCCATGGGCCGGCCCTAACTTTATCCATTTTTAAGTGCACAGTTTTGTGGCATCAAGTAACATGCACATGGTTGTGAAGCCATCACCACCATCATCTCCAGAACTTTATCATCTTCCCAAACTGAAACTGCCCCCCTGAAGCACTCACTCCCCTTTCCCATCCCCCAGCTCCTGGTAACCACTGAAATTAGTATTTTTTTAAGTAAAACAATTTCACATGCTTGCACTCTGAGGTTTTTAACCAACACGCATTACTCCTGTAATTGAAAAAAAAAAATGTTTGGAGTAGCAAATTTGCCCTGGGGAGAGGCAAAGCTAGATTGCAAATGTATGGTGGGGGCTTATATTCATTTATTTGGGGTTTTTGTTTGTTTGTTTGTTTGGGGGGCTGGCCGGTATGGGGATCCGGGATAGGGGCTTATGAATCTGAGGGCTTCGGGGGCTGTTGGTTTCTTGGGTTTAGAAACTTGCCAGATGCAACCAGGACCAAAATCTAACAAAGGCTTATTTATTTTTTATTCCCAGTTAAAGAAAAAAAATTACAGAAGAAAAGGTGAGACCACCGCAGGAGACTCTCAGAGGGTGATTTGGGGACAGAAAAGCGCTTCCCTGGTGGGAGGTCTGCTTAATAGGAATAGGTGCCATTTATTAAGCACCTACTGTGTGCTGGGCACTGTAGTAGGACACTCTGACGCCAGAGCTCACCTTATCTTTACAGCAGCCCTGGAACCCATTTTACAGATGAGGGGACTGAGGCTCAGCGCTTCCACAGGGAGGAAGTGGCTGAGGCTTATGCACATCGCTTTACACTGGCTGCCAGAAAATTGTCACAAGCACTCTAGACATTTTCACTGGATTTCTGTGGCTCGCTTGGGATAGTACTGTGCCCAGCTTGCACTGTAGGCAGTGGCCCTTGATCCTGGGTGCCAGGATGTCCCAGCTGGCCCCTGCCTTAGTTTCTCTGCTCTGAGAGAGGGGTAGACACCCTGCTGCCTGGTGTTGAAGAGCCTCTCTGGGGATCAAGTCCCAGCTTCACGTGGCTGTGGAGTTCCTGCAAGAGAATGTCCATCCGCCTGGCTGAGGAGCTGTCGCATGGTGTGACAGCTCCAGAAAGGAGGGCATTATTGCTTTCCCTGTACAGGCCCTTGCTAGGGGTGGGGTGGGGATGTGGGTGGGGAGGGAAGGCCAAGTATTGGGTCTGGTTTGGAGCCAGGGCTTTCCAGAACAAGCCTCCTGCCTCAAGGGGCAACCCTGACCCGTTGTCACTTTTTCCTGAATCCCTTTGCAGAGAGCAAGAATCCTGCTGGGCCCAGATTAACTTCGCCACCACAGGTCTGTGCCTCCTCACTCCTGACCCCACCCGGGCAAGGCCACTGTCTCAAAACGCCATTGGGCCTCATGACTTGCTACTTGAACCTCTTCTGTAGAAGCTCTTTCTTCTTAGAGTCAAAGCACACCCTCCCCACTTCTTCCCCTGGGCTCTCACCTTCCCTCTTTGCTCCAGCCTCTTACCTCTCACTCACTCCGCCCACTGCCTAGAGCACTCTTCCTCTCTCGGTCTCAGTCTAAAGGTCACCTCCTCCAGGAAGCCTTCCTGGACTCCTGGTCTGCACTTGCTACATACATGCCCCCAGCACCCTCATTCTTCTTACCCCTCAGTGGAAATACAATTAGGTGATCATTGGGTGCTACGTATTTAATAGTCGCTGCCCCCGCGGGACAGCCAACTCCACCAGGGGAGGACCGGGTCTGTCTCGGGCACCCCACGTTTACTGCAGCCCGCTGCCTTGCGGGACGTGTCATTCTGCCAGCCTCCACTAGTGGGCGAGAAGCAGCCAGTCTGTGATGCCCCGTGCGCTCTTGCAGGGGCCGCAGCCGAGAGCTCGATTCCCTGTTCACACACTTATTGAGTGCCTACTATGTGCTAAGACATGGGAGAATCCCGCGATGACCCAGACAGACGTGGTCTCTGCCCACAAGCCCATACTCCAGTGGGGTAACAGCCGATGGCGGGGCCAGACCTATCTGGGACCAGGCGGGGGTCCCCAAGGAAGTGATGTCTAAGCGATTGGATAATAGCCTGGGGAGGGGGAGTTTAGACAGATGTTCCTTCTGGAAGACGTGAGTTGAGTTGCGGCATCCAGGGACATGGTTCAATTTGTAACTGTGAACAGTTCACCTGCAGAATGGGTTGGAAGGAAGCAGGAGAGGATCCTGGGAGACGCACCCCTGCCCCTTCCTCACTGTTGACTTTGGGTCTGTGGGTTGTGGGGGGAGGGGGCAGGGAGAGACGTGAGCAGGGAAGTTCAAACTGGTGCCCAACCCTGGTTTTCCTTTCTCCGTTTCAGACATGTCCTTTGATAACACCCTGTTTGCCATCTCCACGGTGAGTTGTTTCTTTTCTTGGTCGCAGTTGACTGCTGACTGTTCTAACTGGGGCGGGGTGGGGTGGCGGGAACACCACCAGGCTGCGGACACCTGCTGTCTCTGAGCTTTGGGGCCAGGAAAAAGCCCAGAATCACTGAATGCGGACTTGTTAGTGAGCCCAGAGTTAGCTCTGAACAATCCCAAGGGGGTGAGAGGATTGAAGGTGGCAAAGGGAAAAGAGGTGGGCCCTTCCCTACTCAGAACATTCCATGGCTCCCACCTCACTTAGGGTCAAAGCCAGAGTCTTCCCCAGGCCTTCATACGGCAATGGGAAGGCTTCTGGAGGGGCACCTGTTGTCGTGGTCAGCGCTGCCTTTGGGCTCAGTCAGACCATCCTCTCAGGATGGTGACAGAGGATTCAGGGTGACCTGGTGGCCTCTTTTGCGTTGTTCATGGAGACTTGTGACAATCTGATGCATGCTTTTGTCGTCGTTCCCTCACCTGTTGTCGTGGTCAGCGCTGCCTTTGGGCTCAGTCAGACCATCCTCTCAGGATGGTGATAGAGGATTCAGGGTGACCTGGTGGCCTCTTTTGCGTTGTTCATGGAGACTTGTGACAATCTGATGCATGCTTTTGTCGTCGTTCCCTGCCCCCCCGCCCCGTTATAAAGGAAAGCTTGTTTTTAGTAGGTCTGGATCCCCGTACCCACCGGCTGCCAAAAAACAAAAACAAAAAAAAAAGAAAAGCTTGTTTTTGTGTTTAGTTTCAGAGATTTCAGCTTAAATATCCCACTGAGCCTTTCCATCTAGGGGGAAGATCTCAAAGAAGACCCCCCTTGTTGAGGGGCATAGCTTCCCTTCCAGGTCACAGTGTCAAGCCTGCAATTTAAACCTGGGTCTAGGGCTGGCCCGTGGCTCACTCGGGAGAGTGCGGTGCTGATAAACACCAAGGCCATGGGTTTGGATCCCATATAGGGATGGCCGGTTCACTCACTTGGGAGAGCGTGGTGCTGACAACACCAAGTCAAGGGTTAAGATCCCCTTACCGGTCATCTTTTAAAAAACAAACAAATAAACAAAAAACAAAAAAACAAAAAAAACCCCTGGGTCTATGGGATTCCTCTGCACAGCTGCATCTTGGGGTGGTCTTGGCATTTGTACTATTTACTTATTTATTTAAAAAATAAATTTATTTATTTATTAATTTATTTTAAAATTATTATAAATTATTTGTAAATGACAATTTGTAAGTTTATTTGTAAATTTATTTATGTATTTATAAATTTATTATTTATTTGCTTATAAATTTACTTATTAATTTATTTACTTATAAGGATACACTCTAACCAACTGAGCTAACTGGCCAGCACTCCTGCCCCCTTTTTAAAAAAAAATATTTTTTACTAAATTAGTGATATCTGACCCACGAACTCCATGGGCCAAATGTTCAGCCATCTCTCCACACGGGGGTAGGGGAGCAGTATGGACCTGGGTTGCAGGTGGCCCCGCTACAGGTGGCCTTAGAGGTCCCATTTGGAGAAGTGGACACTTCAGAAGACTGCCATTGGGGAGCCTGGGGCAGAGTCGTTCTGCTAGGAGCCTCACAGATGTGGGGAGGGATAGAGAACTGGGCCAACCGACAGCCCGGTCAGGGGACAGTTCCACACACCCTCCCTGGACATCTGGACAAGAACAGTAAGGCTGTCACTTCCTCGGAACTTCTTAATTCCATGAGGAGAGACAGACAACCCCATGTCGGGGGGGGAGGTCAGGAAAATCTCTGAGATGGGTGACAAGGAGGTAGCCGGGAAAGGTTGGGGATGTCTGGGCCAGCCTGAGGACACAGTTTTGGCACGGCCCATTAAGCTGGGGTGCAGTGAAGTGGGGAGTCAAGGGAGGCCCGTGGGGAACTTTGACTTCCCCAGTAAGGTGGGAGCCATGGAGAGTTCTGAGTAGAGGGTCATGACCGGATTCAGGTGCTCACAGGCGCCCTCTGGTGGCTGCTGCTGGGAGGACAGACTGGGAGTCGGGGGCTAGGGCAGGAGCCCGAGGACCAGGATGGAGGAGATTGTAGTGGTCCAGGCACGCCCGGGGGTGGGTGGTTTGGTTCCATCTGCTGGCAGCGGAGGTGGAAGAAGCGGGCCAAGGGGCAGGCCTGGGGAAGGGGCTGGCTTGTGCGCGAAAGCAGATAAAGACACAGTCTGGAGGTCCGGAG